AGTTAAAGAGGGTTTTTTGTTTATCATCCATTAATCAACTGAGTCTTACTCAGCCAAGGGAATACTGGACCTTGGGATCTTAGCTAACGGCAAATGCAAGGTAATGTGATTTTGCTAAAATTCTAGTAGTAGTATTTAAATTATATCAAACTTCCTAAAAATTTCTGTGGAATAAGTGTGAAGTTGCTGTGAGCTGAGCCATTTACCATGGGTCAGCTGAGCCATTGTAATTTCCTAAATCGAGGTCAACTGTTTTTATTGCTGAGCCCTGAGAGTTTATTACTATTTTATTACAGTGAATGCATAGACTATGACCAATTTTTAGAAAATATTTTACAAGACATTTATTTTAATTTATTAGGTACTTCCATGTATGCTTGCTAAATAAACAGGAATTTCAGTGGTTTAGATTTAATGTCTTTCTTTTGGCTTTGGATGGTTTCTCTGTAGTGGCATGAATCTGTTCTAATTTGAAGATGCTCCAGAAACAAAATGTCACGTCAGAATGCTCCTAAATTTTGTAAGAGGTACCTCTAGAGATCTGGACCTGAATTTAAGCTACAGAACAAGCTCACTCAATTATTATTTGAACTACCAAACTCTCAGATTGAAATATTCTGAAGCTTTTGGATGTTCACAATCTGGATCTAGGTCAGGAGAACCTGACTTCGTATAAGCTTTTTTGATATGGCAGGTGGCAGCAATTACTCAGCCACTATTCTCATGCAAAGGATCTCTCCCAGTAAAATGAATTCTCCTACTTATGTCATGTCAGACAGCAGATCTTTAAATCTTTCTGAACTTACCTCACATTCATAGTGTCCCATGTCTTCATTGGAAGGGTTCTTGACCACCAGGACTATTACGCCACTCCGTGGTTCACTGAAAGTCTGGTATTTACTTGTGTCTTTCAACAGTAGACCATCTTTGTACCATCTGCATGTGGAAAACACCGTGTATAAGCCAGGAAAAAATATGCAGTGTCAAGAAGTCCCCAGCTCACTGATCCATCTATCAGACCAGTGGGCAAACAACTCAAGAGTTAACCATTAGATGAAAATTTGGATCCTGGAAGATGGGTCCACAGGTGGGTAGATCACACGTGGATACTAAACTTGCACAGGTTTATGAGATTCTTCTCAAAAAATCTCATGCAGGCAAAAGGGCTTCTAATCAGGCGAAGCTATGCTGAGCTTTTTGTCTGAATACCCCAGACTGGTTGCTGATAAAATAAACTCAAGTCTAAGGCAGGGAGGATAAAGGAAAGAGAAAATGTTGTCAGGGCTTAGATCTGATACAGTCCTATGGCACGTATATATACACCTATCTGTAGGTATTTCTTTTCAGATGCTAGCTAGAATATATTGCTGAGAATCTCAGGAATGTTGGGACTAGGAAGAGCTAGCACTGGGATGGGGTTAAGGTGGAAGACACAGAGAAGAAAGGGTCATAACCTTGAAAGAGAGGGCAGGAGACTTTTCTGACCATGCAAAATGGGAAAACAGAGTTTGTTCCAGTGTGACTTGAAGAACTGACCTGATTTGTGGCCTAGGTGCTCCTTCGATAGTACAGGTAAACTGAGCATCTTCACCCTCCACAAAATAAGCATTTCTAACTTTGTTCACAAACCGTGGTGGCACTGCAAAACAAGGATAAATGTAGCTAGTAGCTGGAAATGTGACCAGATACGAAGGGTGTGTCCCTGACAAGATAATTCTCATGGTGTCTGCAAAGAAGACACTAAAGACCAAGTTTTTTCACCTAAGAACAATTGACTACACCTGTACCTCAAATAATTTTTTTAAAGTATTATCCCAGTAGATGTTATACAGAACTTCTGGAATGTCTTAATATTCATGTTTAAGGTATTACATAGCAGACCCCTTTAAAGCAATGCATCTGTGCAGGACTTTACCTTGAACAAGTATCTTCCCTAAGGTACTGGCATTTCCAGCAGGACTGGAAGCAAAGCACATGTACTGTCCTGAGTCAACACCTGTTAGGTTGTCCAAGATCAATGTGCAGGAACCGTCGGGATCTTCTATTATAATGTGATGGGGATCCACCTCCACAGGCTTTCCATCTTAAAGATAAAGGGGAAAAAGAGTTTAGTAGCAATTATGTTCTCTCCGTGGGAATTTCATCCAGCTTTTCGGCTTGAGAGGACTGAGAGCTGTATTTGTTTTATCGCAGCTGATGTTGCTAGTTGAGGAATGAGCTCTTCATCTTCCTCCAGCTCTCTACAAAACATCCTCTGGGCAAAGCACTGTTGAGGGACCTCATACCACACCAATCCTCATTTAAAAGTGAAATTCTCCCAGAGCATGTGCTGAGCGGTTATAGCTCTGATTTGTTAGCCAAAGGAACACCTCCAAAGTGACTGTAAACATGCAGAACAGATCTTCACAAGGCGTGAACTTACAGCAAAGCTGTTTCCTCTGCAATACAGTCATGCTGGGGAAAAGAGTATGTCCGCACAGCTGCCTGTGCTATGACATGGGAACATCTGAGCTAGTTCAAACAAGTTGTTCATTTACTAGAAGTTGTCTAACTGCCACAAGATGTGGATTCATACGGGCTAATAGTCAAACCTGAAAAAGCAGGGTATTTTAGCTCACAGGAAGATCTATGTTACTTGGGTTGTTTAGTAGCTAACTTTAAGGCTAGACTTGGGTATCTCTAGGTGGTCAGCTTTTAGATTACCCACTAACCAACTAGCACCAAGCAATATAGACGGAGAACAAATTTGGAGGATGCATTTCATGACTCGCTGCTCGTACCTTTGTACCAGCTGACGGATGGCTTGGGAGCTCCCGTAACTTTGCAAGCCAGCTTGACTGTCTCTCCCAGCTCAGCTGTACAATCTGCCAGTTCTTCCTCAAAGTCTGGAGGTACTGAAACATCAGAATAAGCAGGTTAGTCTGGAGGAGGGGGGCTCTGTCCATAGGATGGCTGCTGCAAAGTAAGATAATAGGTATAATTTTTGCAAGACTGCGAGGTTCAGAATGGAAAGCTGAACAGCTAATTTTAGCAGCTAATGACTTTCCAGGTGACATGCTGTCCTTGCTTATCTGAGACTAAAATTCAGTCTGCCAAATGTCTGTTATTGGCTATAAAGATGGGCCATTGAAAAAAAAAAAGGGGGAAGGGGGATTTGTTGCTGATCTGGAAGTATTTTAGGCCACGATTTTAATAAGCACATCCATTATTCAGACACCACACAGCTGTCACAGTTAAGATAATTCCCCAATTAAAATGCACTCTTGATATCCAAACTGGTGTTCTGTTGGTGTCCATACAATAAAATCTATGCTTTGTTAAGGGGCTTTTATTTTAACTTAGTACTACCACATGAAACTATGCAAAATTATTCTGATAGCCTTCCTCATTAGAACACCTCACTAAAAGCACAAAAATAAAATGCCTAGACTTGTTTTCAGGGTATATACACTAAAACCAACTCTGTTCTGGCATTTTAAGATGCCAAATTTCCTTACGCTGTAAAGGACACCATTCCTAGCTTATACCTGGACAGTAAAGATCTAATATCCCTGCTGGTAAATTTTGTGGATAGAAAATTGATGGAATCTCAAATGACAGTGAGAACGGAGCAGCCTGAATGACAAGAGAAAAATCCAAAGCAAACCCATGTGCTCAGATACAGCAATGTAAGCCAGAAGTTGAGTGGAGGATTCGGTACCCAACAAAGTCACAGCGGGCTTTATACTGGTATGAGTAGGACTCTGGGTCAGGTCGTGAGACTACTTTTCCCACTGGAGTCTGATGCTCTTCATGCAGTGGGCCAGGGCCTTTGTCACCAAATTCTGCAGTCATCTACCCTTCTGCAATCCCTGCCAGATCGAACGCATCTCTAGCGCCAACTCTGCAGTTTGTGTTTCAGAAGTTTCAATAACGTGTTTCCCTTCTCCAGTGACACACATTTCTGGGCTATTTTGCTGGAAAACAACATCCTCTGCTTATTGACAAAAATGTATGAATATGAAGACAGGGAACTGTGCGACCACTGCAGTCTCTGACTCTGATGCTCCATCAAAGGCAACCCACATCAGCTGAAATGGCCAGGGATAGCCAGCTCTTCTCAGCTCATCAGCCTGTGTTTTCCACACTTGGGTTACAGACATTGAAGAATAATTAGAAAGGTGCTCATCTGCTCTGCTATTGCCTAAAAACCTATACAGGTCCTGTGGGACCTCTGTCAGGTAAACTTAATCACTGCAGTGATATACAGTCTTGACTCCCTTGATGGTAAATGCAGAGAGTCAAACACCACTGTCCCATCCTGATAAACGTGCCTTCCCCAGCTCAGGTGGAGGACTCAACACTGCTATAATCATCCCAGTTAAAGCTTACTGCATGCTGTCAAGTCGCATGACTTGTTATTTACATCAGTCTGTGATGTGATTAAAGGAAAACCTCTAACCCTAGTTGAGTTTAAGAGGTGGCAAATGACCCGCAATGGTTTCTCTCCCTCTTTTGTTAATCTCCTTCCTGAATCAGGGAGACCACCCAAGAAAAAACTAGGAGGTTTGGGCTATCTCGGGCCATACTCACTCCAGACAGGCTCGCTGATCCGCTGCTGTATGCCACAGATCTCCTTCACCCAGGAGTTCTTGATATTCACTGTACGTGCCTGAAGGAGGTACTTGCGGACCAAGTCTTCCCGTTCGTGCCAGATCTCAAACGCCCGGTCATCCCCTTCCACAAGGTCGTTCACATCTATGTTGTTCAGCTGCGTGACAGAAGAAGGACAAGAAAGTCAACACACATCCTGTGTTCTTAGGGACGAATTTCAGCCAGAACCTTTCCCACAACTGAAATCCCAGAGTTTAGGACAATTCAGGTCTGGACCTAGCCTTTCTGAACCAGAATCATCTTCAGTCAAGGTTTGAAATGGAAACAACTATTAAACACCAGCAAGTCTCCTGCTGCCAGCGTGTACCCTCTTCAGTGGACACGAGTTGTGCCATTCCCATTAAAGCTATGCTCAACAGCAAAAGGGATAATTTACACCACTTTTAAAGATTTTTCAGACTGCGTGAGCAGCGCAACATGGTTTTGGCTGAACGGCAATCAGGGTCACTTTGCAATCCTTTCCCTGGTATACCTGACTTTCCGGTTGCCAAACAGACATTTTCCTGGGAGTAATTATCACATTTCAGGAAAATAACGTCCAGCATTAAAGGGTATCCCAGGGTGGGACACACCAACCCTACAGCCCAGCACTGTTGGGTCCAGGAACAGCACAATTAAGGACTATGTGAAAAGAAATTACAGAGCAGGCACCCTCCGGACAAAGCATCCTTTTTTTTTTTTCCTTGGAAAGTAAGATCTGCCCATCAGTGCCAACGAGGACAGAGATAAGGACTTTCAGAAGGCCCTGACTGGGCTTGGTCAAGAACTCCAGGGGTTTTTTGGGTTTTTTTTTTGTTTTGTTTTTTTTTTTTTTTACTGGAGTTGAACATCTACTGCCTTGGGAAAACCCTTTCTGCAGTTTCTTGCAGTTTTAACCTGAGCCCTGAATGTCTGAAGATGAGCTGGTCAAATCCTCTGATTTTTTTTTCATTTTTAAACAGGAATTGGTGTCAGGAAAGGCCATAAACAGCAGAGAGAACCACTGGGAATGTAGCATATGACTAAACCAGCACTTCCTCCAATTTAATACCAACACTGCAGACTGCCAAAACCAAAGAACTACAAATGCTAGCAAATACTATAGTCAGCAAAATATCACGTACTTCTGCAGTTAACTCAGTGAGCTAACAGAGATGAATAAACACTTGTACATGCGATCTCATTGCTGCACCGTAAAAATCCACCCATGCTTCTGATGGTTTCTGACATGTTTCTGACAGGTTTAGCAGAGAGATTTTGGGATAGACACAGATTCTACTTGTGCTTCAAAAACTTTCGGAAACAAAAGAATAGCTCAAAAGGATTAGTGAAATGTCCCATTTAGATGACCAGAAGCCGGATATAAACATGAAGTTCTCAATGACAGAGAAATGCTCTAGGTGAGGATATAACGATCAGACCTTCATGATGTTCTTGAAGATGTAACTGTAGGTGTCCGTCTTTGTGTCTCGCTTTGGTTTGCAGATCACAAGATAATTTTTGAAGAGGAAGACATGTCTTTTGTGTCCTTTCCACGCCATTCTGGCTCCTGGAGCTCCTTCCCACACGATGAAGTGGCCCTGATAGGAAAAAGAAGGAAGAGCACATAGTGATAACTCTGGAATAATTACCACAATGATGTCTCACCATCATTTGTCAGTGGACAGATAAATGTTTACTGTTACACCGTCACTTTATGTGTCTCTGGTTTATTACAGCACAGCAGATTGTTTCTAATGCTAAAGGTCATGCATCAGACTGACAACACCAACAGGGGTGCACACGGTGGTTGTCATTACTTTGACCTTTAAATGGTATTCTTCACTGCAAAAAAAATACAGAGCTCATGTCAAGTAGGCACACCCCACTAGTACTAATGATAATGGAAAAATATATCCTGTGTGTTATGCAGACACTTTATATGCTCAGCTGGTCTCCTTCACCAGAGCAGGACATTCAGTTCACGTACCTTCAGACACCTACAGCTCAGTTAGTGACATGGGTTCCCCCTTGGCATCGCTAGGGAGAAGTAAACACTCTTGGGGTGTGATTCACTGGGCTCTTTTTTTTCAGATGTCTAAATGTGGGTAGCTGGATCCCCGCCAGAGTGTCTCACTATCACTGTAGTTTAGCCTTACAACTCCACTCAGCAATACACTGTGATTCCCGTGGAAGACATAGGATACAAACAGGCAGAGTAAGTGACTTGCCCAGCAAGACACAGTAAGTCTACAAAGAAACAGGAATTTGAGTAAGGGTGTCTTACCCAGTAGCTGGATCACCTTTCCTCTGTGCTCCTAAAACACACATCTGTTTCATGAAAGAGACCTGGCGAAGCACACAGGTCTTGTGAAGATACATGAACAGCCGTGGGAGAGCATCCATAAATTGATCTAGTGTTTTCACATAGAGCATATGCAACGTATACTATGCTACCTTGTACCGACATCCCAGCAAACTAGGCTCTTCGAAAGAACAGTGTCAAAAGAAAACACGTAGATTGAAAAGGCCCAGTGAGCTTCTAACCCTTGAGGAATCAACAGGAAAATCCACTCATGCCAGTAGTTTCAGGAGCTGACCCGTGTAGCTTGCCAATAATAAGAGAGGAAGAGGAAAAAATAAAATGCTTTAAAATCATGGCGGGGCCCAGAACAAATCTGTTCCTGTTTGATGAGCAGGCTGGAAAGGCAAATAACTACATTATGTGTGAACTGCTCCATAAGCGTCTATGCTCTGGTGCGTCAAACCTTACTCAAGGCAGGAGACCCATCTTTCTGAACA